AGGTGATTGTCGAGCAGATCGAGCAGCTGCCCGCCGAAGTGCACTCCTTTGCCCTGCAGCCGTTTCACCCGCAACTGCCGCGACAGCTCGACCACTACCAGCGCTCCCTGAGCGCCCATCTGGAGGAGGTACTCACGGAGCAGATGATCGAGCGAATGGCAAGACCGTTGCAATCGAAAGTGTCACTCCTCGAGCGACAAGTGATGTCCGAGACCACTCCCTGGGAGCCCATCTTCCGCATCGATTGCGAGGCTTTTATGGAAAGCTTCCAGCCGGATCTGAACTTCCACTTCAGGTGGGGCGTCTGCCGCATGTGGAGTCGCATCAGGGGAATAGTGGCCCTGCCCCTACCGGAGCAGACTCTCCGACGGCCTCAGCAGAATGGCAGGACAAGAACCACCTTTGCCGTGCCAATCATCAATCGAAGCCAGTGGCAGACGCTAAGATCTCTGCTGTGCTCCGAAGGGACTGCTGGAGCCGTTCTTTTGGCTGGAGTTGTGAGTCGTTCCATAAACTGGCGCATGATTCTCGGTCTGGGCTCCGCCCTGGCTGCCATATACTTCTACGAGCTGCTCCACTGGACTCCCGCCGCTCAGGAGCGCACGTTCAAGGCCCAGTACTCGGAGTTTCTGCAGCGGCAACTCCGTGCTGGCGTGACGCACATGAACACGCAATTCGGGCAGCAGATCTGGCAGCATCTGATGGTGGCTGCGCGACACTTGAACGCTCAGGCCGAGCAGGACATACAGGAGCTGAGATCACAGATCAAAGAGATGTTTGAACGCATCGAATCGAACAACGAGCTGCATCTAAAGTTGCGGGAATTCCGAACCAAAGCCACTCTGCTAGAGGATCGATTGAATGCATTCCAAAGTCTGTATATGGGGAGCAGGATCTAGGACTTGATTTGGGGGAAGGACTTAGGAAATTGTTTAGTTTTTACATTTTTATTAGTTTTTGTTTTAGTTAGTTGGTATATCGTTGAGTTATTTAATGTTTTGAATAAAATTTGTGTTGGTTTTATGGAAATGCATCTGAATCTACAGCTACAGAGCTGTTACATTTAATGCACCATGAAGATGATTCCTTATCTTCCTTATGGCTTCCCCAAAGACCTTGAAAAGACACTTCTCAGTTCTTTGTTCTTTGAACAACTTTAAGGTAATGTGCCTGTTCGCTGTTCAAGCTTTCTTTGACCTTTTGTGCAAATCCATTTCGATGCAAATTTCCAAGCACATTTTTTCTTTATTTGTATTTTTGGGCTGTTGACTGCTGAAATTACTTGATTAGATTGTTTTCTCTCGACTCTGTCGCTTGATGGATCGCACACAGATACAGCAACACGCGCGAAACAAGAACAAGAGAGAACCGGTTTGGCTTCTATTTTTTGCCCCCCTCTTTGTGTGGATAAAAAGCCAGAGCTGGAGTTGGAGTCCGAGTCTGGAGCTGTGCAAGAAAGCCTCCATGTTGAAGCACACACACATACAGTCTTAGGCCCCGCCTCCATCATGCACATACAGAGAAACCTGCACCAAAAGAGAGCCGCAGTGCGCATGAACAAAGGCGCAGCAGCAACACCAGGGAGGAAGCTCGTATGGTTGTCCCTCTCACACACAAGAAGAGCCAGGCTTGAGCACGCCATTTCTCTTGCGGTTGTCTCTCTCTCTCGCTCTCTCTTCGTCTGCCTCTGCCGACGCTGGCCGCCATTGGCGCTGTCCTCTGCTGCTGCTGCTGCTGCTGCCACCGCTGTCGCTGCGTTTGGGCCCGGTTCGGAGTCTAGAATCGTATTTGAATTTTTATAAACTCTCAAGAAACGTTGGACGTTGGACGCCTGACGCGCGCGCAAACCGTAACCGTAACCGAAACCGAAACCTAAAACTGCAAGCCGTAGCCGTAGCCACCTCCGTGCGTCGTGTGGGCGTAAACGGAAGCTAGGACTTTGACTTAGGTCCTCAAATCGAATTCACGGACAAACCTGTCAGCATTTGGCCAGGTGGCATTCCCCAGAAGCAAAAGGCCGCGTGCGCTCCAGTCGAGCGAGGCCTAAAAATAATCATTTCAGAGCTGTTCTTTAAGCCAGAAGCAAAAACAAATCAAAAACTGTGTCAAACATTAACAAATTGCAACAAACTATTACGCTTCCGTGTGCAAATAAAAAAAAGTGAAAGTCTGCCGCAAAATCAAGTTACCAAATCGTAAATCGACGAATAAATGAAAAAACAGCGCAGCGCTCTCGAGTGGCCGACCATTGTGCGATTCTAAAAAAGCCAAAAACCTCTTTGGCCACACAATCAAAAGGCATTGCAAAATAACTTAAACCCATTTTCCAACACAACACACATCCAAGCTAACAATCGAAATTGTGTAAAGAAAAATAAAAGTTGGACACCAAAAAGTTTACGTCCGTCCGTCTGTCTGGTCTGCAGCGGAAACAGCAGACATATATCGGTGGAGGAGTGTGTGTCTGTGGCGTCTCTGGTCTATCTAAGTAGTTGTGTGGCGGTGTGCCATTGTTGATTCTGCAACACTTTGGCTGTCAAAACGTTACATAATTGTCAAAGTTTGTTGTGTGTTGGCCAAAGAAAAAAAGATCAACAACAATCAGCGATTTGTTGCAACAATTTGTGTTCAATCTTTTCACAAAAGACAACAACAATCAGCAGTGAGTGAGTGTACTTGTGTCTGTGGCGCTTGTGTTTCTTGGATTATACACACCGAATGCGAATATTTCACAGCTGTCATCATCCACATAGCATTGCAGCAGCACAACGTCTGAGCCAAAGGTTCGTAAAAGCCCAAGCTCCACATTATGGGCGTAAAAACAAAACTAAAGACTAGACGCGGTACTATGAAGAATATGCATTTGTAGAGGGATACATTGTAGATGTTTCACTAGCTCTACAGTTTCTTTAGACTTTCTTTTAAGTACATTTCAAGTCCCAGTCGCATCTCCCAACCTCCCCATTACAGTTTCGCAAAGTGCATCCTTTCATATCAACAACGAATTCGTAGATTTCTCAATACAAATCTTAACCGAACAGCCACTATAATAAATACTTTTCACCATGCTTTCATAAGGGTCTCTCCTAAACTTCGATTAGGTCTATAATCTATGCAAACACTACTCGTATCTACACATAAATGTGTGAACTAGCCACTCTCAATCTGTGTAAATACCACCCCTTCATATCGTATGGTAAATATCAAGTAGCCGTCGGGTGTTTAGTGTTCAATCAACCCCATTAGCGGCTCCATTACGGGGGACTGCAGTCCTTCCTTCCTTCCTGTACACATCCTGAAAGGTAGCCCATAAAGCCCATACTTTTCTTTCTTGTCTAACCAATTGAGCAAACAATTGCTGGGGGCCCCCATCAACGGCTCTTTTGACCAGGGCTCACACCTCGTGTCGCCTAATTGCTGGTGACAGACGGCGGACAGTGGACACAGCGGACGGTGGACAGTTTCTGGTAGAAACAAAACAGATATAAATAATATTTTCGTTGGTGGTTAAAGCCACAATGCGAGCGAACCAAAACAGCAAAAGAAACGAAACGAAACGAAGTGAGAGACAAACAATCGAGGAGCGAGCGAACGAGCCCAAAAGACCAAAAACGATAAGCAAACAATTCCCAAAACAAAAAAATAAAACCATTCGATTCCATGGACAACGGACAACGGACAGCGGAAAACCCACACGACAACATAAACCAACGGGCCACGAACTGTTACCAAAAGGAAAACGAGGCAGAACCCTCCTAAAATAACAGGCCCAGAGATACCAAAAAAAAAACATGGCCAGAACATTGGAATAGACCCAAAATGGTTGTGGAATTGAAATTGGAATTGGAAGAACACAGGGCAGGGAATGTGGCTGTGCTGGTGGTTTTGTAACCAATCGTAAGAATAACAAAATGTTTTTGGTAGAACCAAGAACCAGATCTCCTCTCCTCAGCTCTCTCCCCCGGAGCCATCTGGGAATGTTTATTCTAATTTTTGTTTGACCCAACTCAAGTGCCAAGCCAAAGGTCGTGAGGCGTCGTCGTCGTCGTCGTCGCAGCACTTGAGTCAGTCTTTATCTTTCTTTCCTTTGGGCCAAGTTGCGCCCTCTTTTACCTTTACACTTTATCTAGATGTTTGCCCACGTCTGGTCTGGGCCTCTTCTTGGAATTCCTCACCCATTCCATACACCCGATTCCCGATTGCCGATTGCCGATGTTAAGTAGTCATTTTCTGATAGCATTCAATCGAAGAAACCCCTCAATTTCCTCCGAATTTTCCCAATGCAAATATTTGACTTTTATCAATATTTATGCAGGAAAACTATTGTTCTGATATAAATACTAAACACCCAGAGGGGAAGCTTTAGCCAATGTTTAGGGATAGTATTTGGAGTTATCTCTCAGGCTGTCATAACCCATCATTAATTAAAGAGCAATCGAGCATCGGCTGGGAGAGTGGTGGAGGAGGCCCCGTAGGGAAATCTCGTTCGTTTATTGCAATATTTTTCAGCTGCTTCCGTCAGTCGGAGTGAGAGATAGATCTTTGAGAGATCACGTTTGTATGATTATGATTAATGATCATCGTGCACTCGACTCCATTCCACTCCACAGTCGGACTTTAGTTACTGTCTATCTTTTGTGATCTGTCGGCTCCCACAGGAAAAAAACTGCTACTGTTTTGAGCCCCAGGAGATTTGGTGGGTCAATTTCTTAGAGCAGAAAATGGATCGCCCTCTGGGGAAATGGAAAAGGTAGCTCCAGGGGACAGGAGCCAGGAGCAATCCTATTCAAATGATCAAAATATTTTTGTATATTTTCCATGCTTCTGATTGCAAAACAATAATCATGTTTGGGTCCAAGGGGAATGCCATTTTGTGTGTGCAAGACACGTATTGAAGAGACCTCTGGAACATTAAACAACGAAATATAACTCTTGGGAACTGGGAAAGTTAGAAAGAACCTCCAACTAACGTTCTGTTCGTCTTTCTTTCTTCTCCACAGGTGAATACATCCGCTTGCCCCTGGATGAGCTGTTGAACGACGTGCTCCAGCTCTCTGAATTCACAAGCCTCGAAGACGAGGTAGGTCTTTTCCACCCTTGGAGAACACATTTAGAAAATACTTTAATCCAATTCCCCAATTCTGCAGCTAAGCAACGATCCGGCTGCTTCGACATCGCAGGCTGCTGCCGCTTTGAACGAGAATCAATCGCCAAAGATCACCTCCGAGACGGGTGAGGATTTGTTGACTGCCGAAGGAGTTGCTGTCCAGCAGCGAAAGATCAATACAGACGGCAGGAGCAACAACAGCACGGGCAGCGACCAAAGCGACCAAAGCGACTCGAGCGACTTTCCCCCTTTGTGCGACTTTGAGGATTTGCAGAGCTCCGTGGGCTCGCCGCTCTTTGACTTAGATGACGACGCCAAGAAGGAGCTAGACGAGATGTTGCAATCCACGGCACCGCCCTATCACCACCCCCATGCCCATGGCCATCCCCATGCCCACGGCCACCCCCACGCGCATCCGCACAGCCACCACCATGCCGCGGCAGCTGCCGCTCACCACCACCACGCCCATGCCCACCATGCCGCTGCTGCAGCCGCCGCCCACCAGCGGGCCGTGCAGCAGGCTAACGCCAACTATGGCAGCGTGGGCAGTGCCCAAGGCAGCGCCTTCCAGCGCCAACCATCAGCTGCCGCTGGATTCCATCATGGCCATCATCAGGTAGGCATCAGAACATACAAGGTCCAAGCAGGAATGCATTGATCGTAATCCCTTTGGGGAGCGAGAGAAACTACGGACTGCAGACAGATGTGTATATTTATTTATAATTTGATGCGGATGCGCGCGATTCAAGTGCTGCCATCCGTTGATCGCTCTAAATGTGTATGAACATGGGGTATACACACACATATGTGATATTCTGTAAAGGTGTATGTGGATGTCAGTGGCTCACAAGACATTTTTTGGTCGAGGGTGATGGACTTATTTGATTGACATATATTTCTGCACAATTATCGCACATATTTATCGAATTATCAATTAAATTTGAATAGTTTTTAAAATGAAAACTTATCCTACGCCCCTGGTTTCTGGATAATTCAAGGATCTTTTGCACATGGCTTTCGTTATTCGTATTCTTTTTGTGTGTTCTCCCTCTTCTTGTTCTTGTTGTGCTTCAATCTTTGCTTTTGTCGAGGGCCTCTTCTTCTCTCTCTCTCTCTCCCTTTGAATGCTTCACGTGGTTTCCACTCCACCCCACACCACAGAGAATCTTCTTCGTCTTCCACTGTTTTGTTGGAGCACTTGATCTTGGGTCTCCCCTGCTTGCTTTTGCTCTCTTGAGCCAAGCTGGAGGAGCTATTGCTCTTGCTGTTGTTTGTACAAAAGCTTCAAATCTGGTTGTACATGTGCTGCCCTCTCCTCTCCTCTCCTCTCCTCTCCTCTGTATTCTCCGTCGCTCTGTTAACCGCTTTTATTCCGTTTCCAGCCAAGTTCCCCAAGTTCGTCAATCAAGCCACAACAATCTTGGCCTCTCTTCTTCTTGTCTGCCTCTGACGGATTTTTTCCCTTTTGCCTTTGTTGTAACTGCTCATCAAAAATGTACAACAACAACCGTCCAACAACGAAAATTGTGCTTGTGAGTCGAATGCGAGCAACGTTAAAATAATATATGTGTATGTATGTACCTACAGGTACTCGTATGTACAGCTGTATGTACATATATATATTTATTTATGTGCGTATGTGAGTTTTGCTTTAGCTTTAAGTCTGTCTTCCATCTTGGTTTTCTTATGCTCTTGCTGCACAAACTCAACTTTTTTCTTGGTGTTATTTCTCGACCCTTCCCTCTATTCTTGTTGTCCGAATATTACACAACTTTTGGTTAGAAAGGATCTGTTATTAATCCTCAAAGACCTAGGGTTCTAAAGCTTAGCTTTCCATGAATTATTTGAGTTTTCTGCTCTCTTAAGCCACCAAAAATCGGAGCTCAAAACAAGTGCGCAACAACAACAACAACAACTACAAACAGTAGCACCTTGAATGAAATTCTCTCTCTCTCTCTCTCTCTCTCTCAGCCCAACAGTGAAGGGAGAGAGTGAGTGAATGAGTAGTTGACACGACACAGACCACAACAATGGCCACAAGAACACAGTGTGTGAGAGCGAGCGAGAGGCGTCCAAGCAGTCACGAAGTCAGTGACAAATTACCGTAAAGTCTCTTCTTCTCCCTTCTGGCGGTAGCAGCATCTCTGTTCTGCTGTGCGGCGGCCGTCTGCAGATGAGGAGGATTAACCCTAGACACCGCACTTGGAGAATCCCGTTCCTTTCCGTTCCGTTTGATGTGGTGCGTCGCAGTTTTTGTGAAAGCGCAGCAGGTTGTCTCTTCTCGGCTGTTTCTCTGCGGCAAAGCCATTTAATGAGCAAGATGATCTGTTGATCTTATAGCATCTTCGCTCTTCGCAGGAAGTGCGTTGGCTAAATCCTCTCTTCTGTGTCTTGTCTCTAGGAGTACTAACTGTTAAACAGAATGTGTCATTAGCATAGGGTTTTGTTTTTTCACTTGCTGCTTGATTCCCTTTGATCCCAGCGTCCCAGCGTGGAATGATCAATGATCCATCAGGTGGATCTGGGATCGGTCGTCGCGGATCATTATGTAATGTTTGTGCTGCCAACTTCCTGATAGCCTATGCGTTGTCTTTGTCCCTGTACCTTTCTCTCTCTCGCTCTCTGCCTCCCACCTTACAGCTAATTGCACACACGGGTTAAGCTCCTCTCTCTGTCAGCAAAGAGGGAGGAGCGGCGCTTCCATTCATTACCGGACACTTTTGTTGCTGTTGATTTTGTGTACCCTTCGTTGTCAGAGGGTATCTTAATTTTGAACTATTGTGTGCTAGGAAAGCGTGTTCGACATTTAACATATTCTTGAATAGTTCTGATATTTCAGAGTATTAGTTCACAGCTCTGCAAAGTTTCGTCAAAATCAATATCAAATCTACGCATATATGTTGATAGGCTTAAGGGTATCTGAAGCTACTGCCCCCAAAGTAAGTTTTCTTTTCTTATTTGCCTTTGCTGTGTGCTTTTTTTCTCATTATGTGTCTCTTTTTTTGTGTCGCAGGCAATGTGCCACTTGACTTTTCCTCATGCGGCAGTGGCTGTTACAGGGGGCCGTCCGTCAAAGTGTTTATTGAATTCGGTGGCACCTTGCCGTCTCAACGCTGCAATCCCCCTGTCACTGCCATGGCGCCCCCCGACTTGATTGCATCTGTGGAGGGAGCCCAGCAGTAGCCCCTGCAATTAAATCTCCATTTAGCGCCGCACGCGAATTACAGAAGAAACACAAAAAATGCAGCTCTTAATGTCTGTCCCTTGCCATCGTGCTCTGTGCCTCTCTTCTCCCTCTCCTAATCGCCTTGCACGGCTTTAATTATGTGAATTTTAAATATTTACAAAAAGCTTAACGCTGAAATCAGCGCAGCAACAGCATCAGCAGAAGCGAAAAAACTTTATTAATTATTTTACAGCATCTCTGTTGTTTTTCTTCGTACTCTTGCCTCTTTTTTTGCTCAGTTTCTTAATTCAATTTATGTAAACAATTTGATGGAGCAGACGCGGAAGAGGTGAAGGGGCAGCGGCAGGCAGACTCAGAGCTTGAAGCTGTCATGGGATTTATAACTCGCTTTGTGCACACACATAAATCAAGTTAATGACAAAAAATATTGTATCAAGTGTATATACCTGGAAGGGGGCTCAGCAAGAGGTGTTTTAGGAGGAAATAGAAGGGGTAGACAGTGGTGGAAGGGGTATACTCACAGTTTGCAAACACAAACTAAACCAAAGAACAATCTATAACGCTAGCTGACGGAGATCTTTGGTGATCTGTGATTCCCCTTCGATTCCATTGCTGGGTGGGAGACTTCTTGTTAAAGTCTGAACAGACATTGTAGCTACATTCATCAAATTTATTGTTTCATAGTAGACACATTTTAGGGAAAAACTTGAACATTAATAACTTATAACAAACTATTCCCCATTAAATGCACTCAACAAGTTAATTTTGGCATAAAAATCTCAGTAATTTCAAATGCAATTCCGCTTAATGATTCTCACAGTCATTATTCTGTTTGAGTTATGAATCATCTACCATACCAGTTACAATAAATATATTTCAAGTGTTTTCAAGTACCAGAATTGAATTTGAAATAAATCGAAATGAAAGGAGGGGGTCCACTTTTCACTGAATAAACTTCCATATTTATGTAGAAATTGTAGAACTCTTGCATAAGCAGGGTTTTACACACGAGAATCTATAAGGACTCGAATGTCTGTCGAAGGAGTTTCTGTCTGCTCTGTCTGCTCCTCCTCTCCGACCCACTTTTGTCACGCTTGAGGTTGACCTTAAGATTTTAGAAAATAGATTCTTCCGCACACACAAAAGCAGAGAGACATCAGATCGCTACACATATGGCTATGGATGATGGAGGCACAGAGAGATTGGAAGATCGGCTACCGTATCTAAGTTGGGAGTTGGATTTTGTGTTTGCGTGTGAGAAACGTAGCACACAATGGGCTTGGGCTGTGACTGTGGCCACAGCTAACACCAGAAGTTAATGACACGACAGTGACAATTCAAATTACACACGAGAGCGCACACACAGATACAGCAAACACTCAGATACAAAGATACATAAGATACACACAAATAGTTGACTGCTTGCTGCAACTGGCTGGAAGTGAACGCCCAATGCTCGTCTCGTCTCCGTCTCCGTCTCCTACCTGAAGTGCGGCTGGGCACATACCTGTTTGCGGTACAGGAGCGTGTTGAAGCATTCATTAGATACACTCACACAGATACAGAGGCAGGTTGTTTGCACAGCATCTCACTCACACATCGAGAAGTGCATCAAAGCAACAATCCATCCATCCATCCATCCGTCGGTGTGTGCGACGATGCCTTGGCTACTGTCAGTCAATGATCGGCCTCAACGCGCAAAGGATCGATCCACCATAAAAAATAAAAAATAACTCGCTTTTGTCGGAATTTAATTTTGCTTCGATCGGCATCGTTTCGGCTTTTTCTTTGACACCTACTCTGCATCTGATGATCTGTATCTCTGCTGCAATGTCAATGTCAAAGTGCATCAGCATCAACGTCAGTCCCGTGTTCGAGTATCTCTGAGAGATCTTAATTGCGGTCGGACCCTGCATTTAGCATTAACAAATTGGAAGCGAAGGATCGCAAAGAAAGAAGGAAGAGGAATCGGAATCGTAATCGTAATCGGAATCGGTGTGTGTGAAGTGAGTAGTAGAGTGCTTTAATGATAAGTGGGGGAACATCTGACAGCATACACCCACGCATGCGCAGACTCCTGGAAGTATGCAAAGATCTCTGAGGGCTCTGGGGTCTGCCTCTGTCTCTGTCTCTGGGAATTAGTTAAGCAAATAAATAAAACCCTGCAATAATTAACAATAACAAAAGGCATCCTAATGAAGTCTTAGTTGTTGTCGTTGGAGTCGTCGTCTCACGATCTCACTGTGGCATGGCCTGTCGATCACCAAAGATATTTACAGGAAAAATAATAATAAAATAAAAGACAGGCCCAGACGCAGACACAGAAACAGAGAGAGAGAGGGAGAGAGAGAGACCTCTGGCTGTGGGCCCTGGGTATCCCAGAGCACTTGTCAATTTCAAAGATACGAAACTTTATTTCAATTTCATGTTGATCGATCTCTTGTGGGCCCCCACCAGCAACCAAATCGCCGGATTGATACATTGTGCACGTTTTTTGGCTTACCCACCTCCTCACTCTCCTACATCCCCTACATCAGGCAGCAGGCAGGGGTCTGGGGGTATCTCAGACATTGTTACTTGTAGCGCAATTCGAAATTTGTTTATTGTTGTACGAGAGTCTCGGATTTCTGGGGAATTTCGTGGCGCATTGGGATGATGATTGATCGCTTATTGATACATATTCCATAATGCCAGCACATGGAGTATGGAGCATGGAGCTTGGATCATGGAACGGAACGGAACGAAACCCTTCTCACCTTGTTAATACATCAACACAACACAGCAGCAGCTGTATAGGCCGCGATAAAGAAGGATCAACGTATTAATCAATGTCCCCCACTCTGTGGCACTCTTCTTTCTTGCAGAGCCGCATGCAGCGCCTGAACCGCAGCGTGTCGATGGAGCGTCTTCAGGACTTTGCCACTTACTTCAGTCCCATACCCAGCATGGTGGGCGGGGTCTCGGACATGCCGCCCTATCCCCATCATCCGCACTATCCCGGCTACTCGTACCAAGGCAGTCCCTCGAACGGCGCCGCCGTCGGCGGTGGTCCCATCCCTCCAGTACCCGGACAGCACGGACAGTACGGATCTCCGGCAACAGCTCCGCTGCAGCCCCCTCCACCGCCGCCGCCGCCACACCATGCGGCCATGCTGCACCACCCGAATGCGCCGCTGGGCGACCTCTGCTCCGCCACCGCCGCCACCGGACAGCCCCACTACGGGCACAATATCGGATCGGCGGTCACCTCCAGCATGCACTTGACTAACTCCAGCCACGAGGCCGAAGGAGCCGCTGCCGCAGCGGCCGCCGCCGGTAATGCCTACAAGATGGAGCACGACATGATGTACTACGCGGTAAGTGGTGATCGATCTTTGGTATTGAATCGATTATTAAACGAACTATCGTTTCAACAGAACACTTCCTCGGACATGAATCAAACGGATGGCTTCATGAACTCTTTCTTAACTGATGAGGATCTGCACTTGATGGACATGAACGAGAGTAAGTACAGCCAGCATATCCAATCAACAAGAATTACCTTCACATGTACTGAGTGGCATTGCCACCTTTTCCCTAGAGTACAAAGTTTGTCATAGTTTACCCAAAAGTTTTCATTTTTGTATAGGATACTCGAATAGTAAATAGAGTATATTTTATTCGTGCTCAAAAGATGATGTTTATATTAAAAAATTACTAAACGCAAAGTACAAAGCTTTTGAGTCGAATTTATCACAGAAACGCACAGTCGTGTCAAATGTTAGAGCTTTCACTCTCTCAGATCGCATAAAGCTTACCTACTCAAAGCTCAAAAATGAGCAAATGAGCAAAAATGAGCAGTCCGAGAACATAACAATAGCAACAGACAAAACCTCCCTTCTCTCACACACACTCAGAACATTTTTTGCCGTTGCCCGAGTTCTTGTGTGATAAGCACACACAACATTAGAACTTTGTCTCGCTCTCTCGATCGCTCTCAGGTTTCGCGCTTGATTCGGATGACAAATAATTCGTACGTTTTTGCGGACACACAACTCACACATACATACGCAGACACCCAATGGGCGCGAAAGAGTCGGAGAAAAGCAAAGCGACAAGAACAGAACAGAGCAAAGCGCGGCAGAGCAGCAGCAGCGCGCAGAGAGTCAAGTCAAATCATTCGAATCCGAACAATCACGAACAAAAGTAAAGTAAATATTAGTGGCCGACGAAAACGATAAATGAAACAAAAAAGTTATAATATAAATCTAACAAAAAATATAACAAAATCTATTACGTAGAGACAACGTGCTGCGTATCGACACTAAATATAATTAGCGTAAATAATTTAATAAGTGATTTAATGACGCATTTGGCACAAATAAAAGATAACTATTCCTCACGTTCGCGCTCTCGCCTGGCTTATTTTGCCTCTGTGTGTGTGTATGAATGCACAACGAATTTAGAACGGTTGATGACGCGCGTGGGTAACGCATCCGAATAAAAGAAACTCTCGATCGCTCTCGGCGCGTATACAAAAACGGGATAAAATCCAACAGGTGAGAGTGAGAGCACGCTGCAGGTTGGGTGTTATGCTAACATACATATGTAGAGTGGGTGGATGGGCGGGTGGTTATTTATAAAAGAACAGCATAAGCAACAAAAAGCACAAAAGCCCATTCGAAATATTGGCCGCGTAACAATTTTTTCATTAGTCATGCCGCACGGCGATCTTGTGCTGCTGCGGCGTCGCTGCCGCCGCGCTGCTTCTGCTGATATCAGCAATAAGAACGTTCCGTTTATCTCTTTCCCTCCCTCCCTATCTCGCTCTGTCGACTTCGACGTCGACGCTGCCTAATGCTCGCTCAGCAAGTTTTTTTTTCTGTCGCCGTCGCTGTCTCTATCGCTGCCGCCCGCCTGTTTGCTGTTTACTATTTTTAAACTGCTGAGTCATCGTTTTCGAAACAGAAAATAAGAACGTTAAGAAAAAAAAGCTTAAAGAGTGAATGGTAGTAAAGAGAGATAGAGAGAGAGAGAGAGAGAGAAAAACGCAACAGAGGGAGAGGTTAGAAATAGTTGCCAATATCTCCGACTAGGAATGCCAAATCGTTAGTGGGTTACGTGTTTGCATAGGCATTTATCGCAATTTTGAGAAACAAAGACATTCTCACTCGGTATACCCTTGCGGATGTAGGATACATACATTTATCTACTTAGTATATAAGTATACACATAAGTATTTATTGTTGATCCGCTTCAGCATATAGATTTCTTCTTTAAAACCTGTCCATAAGTTGGAAAACACGTACATATGTAGATAGAATATTAGCACTAACACCACATATGAAAAATAAGTGGCAGTTGATCTGAATGGGTATAAAGTCGTCTACCCCCAAAGCTGCAATTTTTTATATTTTCGGTTTTGCGCCAGTGTTGTGTGTTTTTTCGCTCATCATGAAACGTGTCGTGCTCTGCCTCTGGCTTTAACGGTTATCTTTATGGTTTCCGTTATGTTTATTGGAATCTTACGTTGTATACGTTAACGCAAACCGCTACCGATGCATTCGAACATTCACAGCTGTCCTGCTCTCGAGTGCGTACACATGAAAATGCATACATATTTAAGTACATACATATGTATAATGCACGAGGTGTATCTGTATTAATTGCTGTCATATTTTGTCAAGTCATCAATGTTTATGGGTTTTGACCTTGCTGATGAGGCAGTTGTACTAAATAATATAAGCCAGCAGCCCCTCCTAATCAGCTTACGAATTGATTTGACTAATTAAGTGCAAGTGGTGGAAATATACGAGTGGGGGAGAATGCAATCTTTACGTACAGTTATGTACATATGTATGTATGTATGTGTGTACCTCTTTCGTTTGGAAGAACCCCCCAGACACGGTTCACGATAAGATTACTTTGATCTGACGTTGAAGAACCATTCTTTTTGCTTGTTTCGCAATGTGAAAATGTATAGCGCAGAGCGAGAGAGAGGGACCTGTTGTTGAGAGAACCACGAGCATGTTTAATGTATGTATGTATATTTATTTCTTATCGCCTGATAAGATAAGTCGTCGACTGAAATATGGAAAATGACTGCACACTTTTGGCACTGACTGCGGCTCATATTCCGCCACGAATCGCATTGTCCATCGGATGCGGGGTCGTAAATCTGTGCTAAATAATCGAAGAAAGAGTAGATTTTTCTGCCTGAAATATACAGATATACATATGTAGGTTAGGTACAGCCACTGATTCCAGAAGAAGAACTGGTTTGGTTCCGATTGCGTAATCGAATGAGAGTTCCTCATTTCTTCCTGCCGCTAGGAGTGAAAAATCTCTCAAGGAACAATGTTTCTTAAATTAAAGAGACTATCACTAAGGTATTACGTTTTCTGTTTCCTTATAGGCTTCTGTCGCATGGTGGACAACAGCACCAGCAACAACTCCTCGGTCCTGGGGCTGACCGGCAGCGGACATGTCAGCCACTCGGCCAGCACCGCACAGCTGGTCCCTGGAAATCACGGCACAGCTAATGGCGGTTCCTCCGTCGGCGGCGGTGTGTCATCTATGAGCGGTGGCGCTTCGTCGGTTGGCATGACCGCCGATATCCTGGCCAGCGGTGGAGGTGCAACTCAGGGCGGAACAGATAGATTGGACGCCAGCAGTGACAGTGCCGTCAGCTCGATGGGCTCCGAGAGGGTGCCGTCCCTCTCCGACGGGGAGTGGGGCGAGGGCAGTGACTCGGCCCAGGATTACCACCAGGGCAAGTACGGAGGCCCCTACGACTTCAGTTACAACAACTCACGCATCAGCACAGCCACCCGCCAGCCGCCGGTGGCCCAGAAGAAACACCAGCTCTATGGCAAGCGCGATCCCCACAAGCAGGCTCCCAGCGCCCTGCCTCCCACAGCCCCTCCGGCCACGGCCCAGGCCCAGGCCCAGACGCAGCCGCAGAGCATCAAGTACGAGTACGATGCCGGATACGCAGGCATGGCTAGCGGAGGAATCGCCGGCCTGCCGCAAAACAGCGCCAGCGAGACCGGCGCCATGGGGCCGGCTCTCTCCAAGGAGTACCATCAGCAGGCTTACGGCATGGGGGCCAGCAGCAACTTCCCCGGCGACTATGGGGTTCGTCCACCTCCACGCACCTCCCAGGACCTGGTGCAGCTGAATCACACTTACTCCCTGCCCCAGAGCAGTGGCTCGCTCCCCAGACCCCAGGCGCGCGACAAGAAGCCCCTGGTGGCCACCAAGAACGCAACGAAGGCGGCTGCCGGCAGCTCTGCTGCCGCCACCGCGGAGGACGAGCACCTGACGCGCGACGAGAAGCGCGCCCGCTCCCTGAACATACCCATCAGTGTGCAGGACATCATTAATCTGCCGATGGACGAGTTCAACGAGCGCCTGTCCAAATACGACCTGAGCGAGAACCAGTTGTCCCTTATCCGAGATATTCGTCGTCGTGGCAAGAACAAGGTGGCGGCGCAGAACTGCCGCAAGCGCAAGCTGGATCAGATCCTCTCCCTGGAGGATGAGGTGAATGCGGTCGTCAAGCGCAAGACGCAGCTCAGCCAGGACCGCGCCCACCTGGAGGGAGAGCGCAAGCGCATTTCAAACAAGTTTGCAATGCTCCATCGTCACGTGTTCCAGGTGAGTCTTTCCCCTCTTAATTATATTCAAAACAATAGCTAACTTTTTATTGTTATTGTAGTATCTGCGCGATCCTGAAGGCAATCCCTGCTCGCCGGCCGACTACAGTCTGCAGCAGGCTGCCGATGGTTCGGTGTATTTGCTGCCACGCGACAAGTCCGAGGGCAACAGCACGGCAACTGCCGCTTCGAGTGCAGTGTCCTCGGCCGGCACGAGTAACCTGAACGGGCATGGCCCCTTGGCGCCGCCCATGCATGGGGGCCACCACAGCCAGCACCATCAGCCGCAGCATGTGGACGCAGCCATGACCCAGCACGTGGCCAGGATGCCACCGCATCTGCAGCAGCAGCAGCAGCAGCAACAGCAGTCGTCGCAGCATCACCATCAGCATCAGTCGCAGCAGCCAGGAGGAGGATCGCAGCAGCAGCAGCAGCATCACAAGGAATGAAAATACCTGTTGCGAATTGCCGCAACAACGAGTTGGTTCACTAACTTTCAGCGCGAGCAGCAGCAGCAACAGCAGCAACAGCAGCAGGAGCACCGTTCCGAGCATCCGCAGCAGCAGTACGACTACCGCTACGACTTTTTCAACAACAGTTACCTGTGCTACTGATGATTGCTGATTGATTTGGCAGTCAATGATCATTGAGCTGTGGCTGTGGCGCGACCTGGTGGTGCGCTCTCCCTGCTGCAATTGCAACGTGTTGCTGGCAACATTCGTTGCCCCCCCCTTGCATTGCACCTACTTCTTCATCGCATCCCGCATTCAGCACCCTCCCCCACACATTTATGCTTTACTCTTTTAGTCAGCATTATTGTTATTTATTTTTTAATGAATTAAAATGGATTTTTCAGCAGCGTCTCCCGCTGGGGGTCTCTGCTCGGATGAAGCCCGTCTTCAAATCGTATATATGTACCACCACCATTACCCAATACACCATTACTTGTGATAAACCAAATCATTTCTGTCGCCAAACGAAGAGAATGTCCAAGCCCCTTCTGGCATGAAATGAATTTGTAAATCGCATGATCATACATCGTCTATCATCCAACAACATCCACAAACATCAACGCGTCGTCCAACAATATTTGATGGTTAAACCGTTTACAAATTGCAATAATAATAGATTGTAAAATATGAATGAAAAACACAGATGGTAGGATCGAGGAATGTATAAAATAGTTGATAAGAAACAGCAGCACACAACACAACATAAACAAAACAAATGTAAAGGTTGATAAATATTGATGGACTACACCCGTAAGACACTTAGACGTAAGCCTAGTGGTACGCTTTAGTCTAGCGAGAGAGGTCTACACAAACAGAAACACACATTTGTAAATCGTACTAAAATTGTAAGGCATTTATCCAGCCCATTAAAAACTCAAACATAACACAAATTAGCCTAGACTGTAGCATCTGTAAATACATAGATTATACTTAGTTAAACTATTAACTAAACAAGCGGCTAGGCTACGCGAAAAAAGAAAAACAAAACAAAAAAACCATCAAAGAAACTAAAGAAAAAACAATGTAAAAAGAGTACAAAAACGTACTACAAAAAGGAAGTAAAACACATTAATGCCCTTGCCGGACGGTCCTGGAACTGCATCTGCTGGAACTGTGGTGTCCTGGCATTGGGCGCCCCTAGTTGATAATCAATTAAGAGATATTAATATTTAATATTCTTAAGTGTCCTACCGCATAAAGAGTTTAACTTTAAACTAGCGATAAACACAACACACACATACACACGAGTACGAGTATGATATCAACCCAAGCGCAGAGATCCGCAACGCGTAAACAAACGAAACAAAAACATTTAGGCATAATATGTATTTTAAATTGTTGTATGAATTCCACGCATATTGAATGTTACTTCCCAAAGTGGAAGAAAACCCTATACAAAAAACACTAAAAATGCGCAGCTTCTCGATCAACTAATAAAACCTACAAAATGCGAAATTATTTGTTGTACATTGAAATTAAACTAATTAACTAAAATACTATTGTACTACCACTACGTAAAACAAAATACAAAAAGAAAAAAGGAATAATTTAGAATATTCTATTAACATCAGAATCGGAGAAAAAGTGTCTTTAGACATCAGGTCGAGCTCTGTACAGTGCTCTGTACTCCTGTTTAAAAGTCAAGGATATCTGAGCATGCGTTTGTCCAGCCTATACCTCCTATGTATGTTTCTATATATGTATGTATGTATGTATAATATATGTGAATGTATCATATGAGAAATTTGTATGCTTTAAAAACGATCTACTTTCCCTCAGCTAATCAAAGAGAACGTCAAAATTAAAGAAAGAAACTACAAAAAAATACACAACATTAATCGAGTTTTTAATGGTATCTGGGGAAATATTTAGATGCAGTCAAATCTCTAGGTATGGAACGGCAGATTGGGATTTCATCATCATTAGATCGTCGAAAGTATAAACGATTGGCACCGAAAAGGACTATTCTAAATCATGGGTGTCTTCCCCATCACAGGAAGTCGTCGCACGCCTCGATCGGCCCACAAATAATGGAGAAAAACAAACACGGTCAATTGTTGTACCACAAAATGGGTTGTTGCAATTGTTGTAGAAAAAAGTTGGTTGTTGCTATTGTTGTACAAAAAAAATGGTTGTTGCTATTGTTGTACAAACAAGTTGGTTGTTGCTTTTGTTGTACAACAACCACCCCTAATAAATAATAACCCTAAAAGATACTTTAATTTTTGCGCAATCGCATGCACCGCTCAGCCTGAAAGTATGCCACGGTTCATGAAATATTGGTTGTTTCCCAATTGCTATATTTCGGATTTTCAGCAGACTCTTTCGAAATCCAAACGATCCAAAGCATGGCCCAACCCAAGGAAACGTAAATAGTTTTAGATTTATCTTATACGGGTATATTCTTGGTCTTTCATTTTCACAATCTTGCCGACACTTACACATAAAGTTCATTCATGCTCATACAATTTTATTGTCCACACATTATTCAGAATTCAAGCTCGTGTTTTTGAAACAGTTTACTTTGTGCCTAAAAATGTTATCTATTATAATTATCTATTATCAGGGGATGTTCAACAATTAGAATGGGGTAAAAGGGAATTCAAAATTCCGTTCGTATCATTTCATTTTCATTTCACGTCATTATAGTAGCTAATTGTTATTATTTATTTATGTAAAGTGAGCTTTATAAACAGTTTTCTAGTGGTCTAAGCTTACGAGGAAGTTGCAGCATTTTGGTTTCTGTGTCTCACATCGTGCTTTGCGGTAATATCAATGTTGTTTAGCTTAATTATAGTAAATTCAATACAACTAAAGCTATCATCAACGAACATCATTCATCATTCATCATTCATCATTCATCCTTCATTAGGCTATACATAGTACAATCGTTTAGAGGCTTGGTTCCTTCGGAAGCAATCAAATTGCCTCCGCTTCAGCATGGGATGGGAGTCAGGGTTTGGGGGAGAGTTTCACAGCTGCAGCAGCTCCATGGCTTTGACGGGAATCATCTGGCTTAACCTATGCACTTTGAGTTAGAGTTAGAATAGAGGAGGAGCCTTACACTTAAATAGAATACAACATCGTAGGAGGATGGGGAGGGGATGCATGGGGAAGAGCTCTCCTTCCTCGCATCCTCAATCAACTTGTAATAATATCAACATATGGAATCGATGGGCAGCTGATCCTGCTTGATGCTCAGGCGACGCGGATTCGACTTGCGGATGCTGCCATTGCTGGGACTCGTGGCTGGCGCACTGCCAGTGCCATTGCCAGGACCCGATGCTATGGCCAGCGTGCTGAGGCTGTTGTTGTTGCTGTAGTTGCTGCTGTTTATGGAATTACCAGAGTTGGTCTTCTCGTTAATACTTGAGAGGTTGGGTATGCTGGGCGCCGTCGTCGTTATGGTCAGTCCGCCCATGGTGAAGGAGGCCCCCTGCTTGTTGTTGTTCAGCGGCTCCAGCTCGCTGGCCAGAACGCCGTTGGGAATGGAATGGGAGCGCATCTGCAGACGGCCCGAGTCCAGCGACTCGTCGCTCGCCGGATCAAGATGGTCCACCGATGCCGCGGAGGCAATGCGCTGGAACAGGCTGGCCGAGAGGGCGCGATCCTGAAATGGGGCCGCGCCCAGGCAGCTCTTGGCGCTCCTCGAGTACTCCGACTTGAGCTCGTCCAGCTGCTTGGCACTGCACAGGGGCGTGTCCACGTCGTAGGTGTTGTTGAAGAGAGTGTAGTCCACCTCGTACTCGCCGGTCTCCTTGCGGAAGGACACCACATTGACGAACCGATGACCCCACAACACCTCCGAGGGCAGATAGCTGCTGCGCGCCTGCGTGGTCATGCCAGTGGACTCGATGACGCCCTCTGCAAGCGAGTATGGATTAGTTTACTTCACGGGGAGAAGGGGAGATGAATGATCGACTTACCCAGCATAACGACAACTTCAAAGCGTTCCTTTAGCATGTCCGAGGCGGAGAGCATGTACAGTGGGCTGTTCCGATCGATCTTGTGGACAATGGTGGTGGGCCAGATGAACATCAATCGATCCTCGCCGCCGTCGGCGCCTATGTGCAATTCCTGTTGGTAGAACGGCAGCACTTCACCCTCCTTGGTGACCTTCTTGCGGATTATCTGCGCCCTGATGTGCGCCTCGATGATGTGGGACTTGCGCATATCGCCCACGCGGAACATCAGACAGGGCACGCCGTCGCGATGACAGATGACGGCATTGCGCGAGAAGAGCAGCGTCTGGGCGCGCTTCTTGGGACGCGAGAGCTTGGCAAAGACAATGCCCACCATAAAGGCCTGGATGAAGACTCCCGTGATGCACTGGATGCACATGGTGAAGATGGCCTCCGGGCACTCCTCCGTCACGTAGCGATTGCCATAGCCGATCGTCGTCTGCGTCTCCACCGAGTAGAGGAAGGCGGTCATGATGCTCTTCACCTCCGTCACGCACACCGTGTGCGTCATATTGGCCACCAGATCGGGCTGCTTGTCCCTCAGATTGATGTACTCCAGGTCGTTGTGGGCATAGGCGATGATCCACCAGATGAACCCAAAGAAGGCCCACGAAATGACGAAGCTGGCGGCGAAAACGAGCAGCGTCCAGCGCCACTGAGCATCCACCAATGTCGTGAAGATGTCCTGTTGAAAAGAAACAAACGAATACAATTTTCAATTACACTGAAAGTGACTTTACATAAGACCCTATTCTAGTCTCCCCCTCTAGCTCTCTCTCTCTGTTTGAGTTATGCAAACGGAAATGCAAGAGAAAGACCCGCTATATTTAGACCCCTCTGCCACCAGAGGTACGCTGGCAGATATAGCCACGCACTTGCCACACGCCTGCTCTCAGCGACTCACCTGCAGATATCGACGACGTCTCTTGGCCACATTTCCCTGCACCACGTTGCATTCGCCATGCTTGAACACCACACGTTTGCGGACACGCCGCGAGCTGAAACGTGTCTGCCGGTACCTGAAAGCACACCACAGAGCAGATGTTAGAGTCAAATATTTCGGATCTACTAATGTAAGTTCTTTTAGGGGAAAGTCTTGGATGAGAGTGCGATTGGGGGACGCGGCTTTTGCCTGCTTTCAATGCAGGTGCTTATCAGAATAGAATTTACACAACATTCCCCCGAATGCTTCTCATCTTTATATTTAGTGTGTACCTCTCGTGGGCACACGTCTTGCTATCTTTAAAAACACAGAGGGGAAGAAAAGACACATTCAATCACAAGGAATACACCATGTAGCAATGTGTCTTTGTTCGGGAACTGAATAAATCTTGGCAAAAAACAGGAAATCACATCACAAAAGAGATTGTCTCTGAGTGAGACTCCACCCATGAACACATTGCCAGATGGAACATCAGCGGATACTTTATAGGATACTTTATTCTGTTACCACATCATGGCCTGCAGCACAATACTGGAGAAGCATAGGACAAACACCAGGCCGATAACGAACAGCATTAGGAGTCGTGAATCCAATACGAAGCTCATTGCTTATTAATGTTTTGGCTGTGTTGAGGAGATCTTCTATGGATCATTGCGATCATCACTGAAGCTTAATTAACACTGCGCAGGAGGGAGACCCATCATGACGGGTTCTTTGAAAGCTTTGCTCAAGTTTTTGCCGGAATAACTGTAAACGTGAATGCTCTCTCCTCCCTCGCTTGCCGACTGAACACACAAAACAGAAATCAGTGCAGTTTCTGTTTTACATTTTCATTCCATTTTCGTTTCATTTGCACTCTTTATCAGCACCCTCCCTCTCCTGCTCTTCCCC